CATCTACTCAGCATTACTCAGGCATTCATATAATTAAATTTAAACATGTGCATAAAGGAGGTTTTGTTAGATGATTTGGGCCTGAATTATTGTTTTGTGGACCACAATTCAGTTCCGAAAGAAGATGTAGGGTTTAGCTTTAGTATGTAAACCTGATACTAAAATTGGCATCAAGAAATATAATGATGCCTGTTTTAGTCAACAGGTGGGTGCATCTACATGTGCAAATGCTCCTGGTTGGGTTTATACCAGAGTCTCTAGAATTTCTTCTAGAGTGAACCCACCCTGGGCTCACTCATATACCATTTGGGAGTAGATTTGCTGGTCCTGGCAGCGAGTCCGCTCCTGCCCTCTCTGGCCCTGCAGCAGCTAGGGGGAGCTGGAGGCTCTGACTGCACCTACCTGCAGCCAGCAGCCATCTGTAAAAGACAGCCCCATTCCCTCTCCCTGGCCATGTGGCTTCCTGGCTTGGAGCAGCCTGCAGAACACTCTGCCAGCATGCTGCAGTTCTGTTGCTGGAGCCGCTGCCCACTGCACCATGGCTGCTCCTAGGACCTGAGAGCAATGTCTACCACCCCAGGCTCCTACTCACCACTTTGCCCTGCCATGGCAACTGTCACCTGGCTCAAATCAGTCTCAGCCCTGGCAACCCCCCTGCACAATGCAACCTCCTAGCCAGGCTCACCATGCCATCCCAGGCCCCCTGCCACTGTGCTGCTGTTGTCCAGACCCCAGCAGGGATTCTGATGATGCACATCTGGATGCCACCACTAGTGCCATCCATATGCTCTTGGGGCTCCAACTCTGCTGTCTGTGGGCCTGCCCAGCCAGCCAGGACTGGTGGCTGCACATCATTCAGTCCACCTGGGATAATGAGCAGTGGTCGAAGTCATTCTGGATGACCCAGGCCACCTTTGAGGAGCGACTTGAGTAGCTCCTCTGTCCACACTTGGAATGGCAGAACACCTGGAAAGGACCCACACCTGCCCATCACCTGCCACCCTGCAGTGACCACACCTACTACAGCTGGTGGGGCTTCTACTCTGTCATGCTCCAGACTGTCTTTGACCACTACAGTGACTTCACCAATGTGAATGCCAACTGGACAGGCAGCACCCATGACACCTGCATATTCCACAACTCTGCTCTGCCAGCCCCGGTGGAGAGTGGGTGCTTTGCATCAGGGGTGCTGGACCTCCAGCTTGTTATGGTGGCTGTCCTGTTCCTCCTCAGACACGACTCTGCCTAACTGCTCCTGCCTTAGTTAATGTGGCCCTACACCGGCCAGCTGAACCCTTGCCAGGCATACTTCAACAGGTGCCCGAGCCAGACCCATGCACTGGTGGAGTGAGCCATCGGCTACCTGAATGGATGCTGGTGCACCCACCCCACCACCAATAAAGCACCCTCTTTCCCATGCAGACTATGTCCAGTAGAATTTGTGACCTCCCCGGGTGACGGTCCATAAGGTAGGGGCACCAAGGGTTAGAGCTTGGGGACAGGCATCCAGCGCTGTAGCCTCTGGCCACACCCCCACGGGTGTGCAAGCTGCAATGAATGTGGTCAGTGGGGGGCTTACCTGGGGGTGGCAGCAGAGCCAGCTCCCCCTCTTGCAGCCAGCACTTGGTCCTGGTCTTGCTGCAGGAGGAGAAGCTGGCTCAGCTGCCAGAGCAGTGTCTGCTGTCACCCCCAGCAGACACTTGGCCCTGGTCCTGCTTGGTCCTGGTCTTGCTGCAGGCAGCACCTGCTCTGGGGCTGCATGATGCTTGGGCGAGCAGCAGGGCTGGGCCTAGACAGGGGTGCTGGGTGGTGAGGATCTCAGGGCAGGGGCACCTGGCCAGTGGAGGTGCTGCTGCACCTCAGCCCAGGCCCCTGGGGTGGCCCTGCTGCTAGGTGGTGGGCAACTGCCAGGGGACAGATGGGGTCAGGGCCAGGGGACCAGATGGTACAAAGGTAACCACCAGGGCCAGGGTGGTGTCCAGCACCCTCCAGTCCTCCTGTGTGACCTCCACCGTCCTGGCCACCAGGGTAGCCTGCCCCTCCTGGGCCTCCAGGTGCTTCTCCTACAGGGCCAGGAGCCTGTCCCAGAACTCCCTCACTACCTTGTGTGCATCCCTCAGTCACCTTTTAGGTGTCCCTCTTCCATTTTCACGTATCGCTCTCCCACCCATGGGCAATGTTCTCCATGCACCAGGCTCACGAATCTTCCAGCCACCGTGACCAGCTGGTCCAGCAGCTGAGTCCAGTCCTGGGTCCTATGCTGCCAGAGCCGGCACATAGACAGAGCCCTGGCCAAGACTGGCAGTGACCCTGAAGGCACATCCCGGCTGCCAGCTGGTGCCTCTGTCTCGCGTACAGCTTCAGGTCCTACAGAGCCAGGAGAAAGAAGTTGTTTGTAAGAGTTTGCAACATTTCTGAGCTAATATGCTCAATACCAGGGGACTGTGCAGTCTGGCCTCAGATCAGGACTCGTGTGCATGGGTGCCCAGAGACCATGGAAAGTTAGGCAGTCAGGCCCTGGCACAGGCAGTCACCAGCTGAGTCCCCTGTCCCTGCTTGCTTCTCAGGGGTGGGTGGGCTCCTGGGTGCTGGCTGCAAGTAACCTGCATTCCCTGCCCCATTTTCAAGCCTATCCCAGGCCACAGGTAGCCCTCTGGGTGGTGGCAGAGGTTGAGAGGCAGCAGAGCCTTGCCCTCCACACTGTTGAAGCTCAGTGTTCTGCTCTAGGTGCACCTGGGGCACCATGACAATCAGCAGTAGCAGGGCATAGTGGGTTGTGTACCCTCGGTCTGCACAAACAGTTCCTCACAGCTTGCTCAGAATACTCTCATCAGGGGCATGCTTGGGGTGCAGAGCCAGTGCAGGGCAGGGGCTGGCCCCAGGGCACCTTTCTGGAAGGTCCCCTGGAGGGAGTGCCGGGGTGCCACCAGTTCCACGTCCCAGTCAGCCAGGAGCCTCTTACCTCCCCAAGGCCGGGCACCATGGACTTGGCGGCAGCAGAGGAGACAGGCTGACCTGCAGGAAGAGAAGTGGCGGGGGGGGAGGGGTAGTGGCAATAAGCACCGGAGTTTATTGCATTGCATTAATATGCATGTGTAAGACACACCCTGTGTGTGGTAATTAGTAGCTTTCAAGTTAGGAAAACTTGAAAAAATATAAACAAACCAGAAATATTAACAATATGAATGCATCCCTTTGTACTCTTTTCATTTTGAAGTGGCTTTTATGGCTTAGAAAAATGGAAAGTATATTTCAAGCAGTATTAAGCTAAAGTCTCCTTACGGCTTTTCAGAGAATAAAGGAAAAAGAGATAAAGTTGTCAAGACCTTTAAAGTCTTTCATTGGATGTGTAACATTGGGAAGCGAGATTTGTTGTCAGAACTGTTTAAAGGAAATTAAATTTTACTTTTTTTGTGTACCCTGTAGAAAGCCCCTTGAGCCCTTTTGCCAGGTGCACTAAGCGTTTAAGCCTAAGCCACTTTAAGCCAGAGTACTCTACAATATGTCTAGTCATTTTAATATGTGATTCCAAAATGTATCAGTTGCCAGAGGAGAATTTTCTCTTGCTTTATTGTCAGTTCAGGACTTGGTAGCCAGTGTCAATTATGGAACTAATTCAACATAGAAATGAAGAAAGTAGTGAAGTCAGTTGTCTTCCAGCAGATTTTAGCATGCACTTTGCTGAATTGGACCTACTAAAATATACCATATTTAAGTACTGCAAGACTAGACCAAAAGTGGGAAATCAAACTTGGCTTGAATATACTTTTCAACAAAATTAGTCATTTGGACCTAGAATGATTTTGTATCTCAAAAGACTGTGATTTATAACCTGGAGATAATGCATAGAGCCTGGTTGTAATTATAGCTGTTCTTAGAGCTCACATTAGTTCATTGTGCAAGGGGCAAGCATTTTTAGGAAGATAACTTTAACGGACAAACTGGTTAAAACTGTCCTTATTTAGTTTTTACCCTAAGAACTAATGATATTCTCACTGATGATGTCAAGTGTCTTGCCCGAATAAGGGATTGGATACAAACTGTGGGAGATTGACTTGTAAATATTTGTTGGTTTTATTTTTTAAGAAGCAACGAAAGGTCCTAGCTTTTTTAACATTAATGAGGCCATCGGTTTCTGTGATCTAGCAGGTGAATGAAAAATCTGGGTTTACTTCTAATTAACTTTTAAAATTGGCTCACTGAATAAATTCATCTGAACATGAAAAGCATTCTAATAAAGCTAGAGACAGGCTATTTTTATTTTATGAATTGCAATGCACTCTCCATTGAAACATCCCATGCATCTCAGGAAGCAAGAAAAGAGGCTGTTCGGGAAAAAAATATAATAGTAGGAGGAAAATAGCCTGGGAGATTAAGAACAAAGTGATCTTTCCGTAGAGTATTTTATTTGGGATCAGTAACTTTTGAGGGAAGGCTCTTGAAACCTGTTTTGACCGAACTAACCTTTTTATAACTTGGCTCTGCATGGGGAGTATGACAATGGGAGAGCTCCTGACAAGTCTAAAATAACGCCCAGCTTCTGAATGGTTTCAGTGGTATCCTGTATAGGGACTGGCACTGCACAAGCTCTCTTGCCTAGAAATGTGTGTAACCCACAGATTCACTCTTGTATTCAGTTCTTACCTGTGTGGCTGGGCCACGTGTAGAAGTTGATGAGCCCAGTGCAGCACTGCCGTCTTAGCTCAAGCAGTAGAGGTGCATCTTTTTAAAGTCACCATTTTCATGTTTCCCTCCATTTGCTGAGGAACCACTTGGGGTCGTGATGTTAAATGAGCATGGGGGAAGAGGTGGTTGAAGTTGTTATTATCTGACATACCTCTTTTATGTAATTTAGGAAGAGGAAAAATATTCTCTTACCTCTTCTTTTTTTTCCTTCATTTGTTGTAGGGTAATTGAGGGTGTAGAGAATTTGGGGGCTTGATAACCTTTCGAATTGTTCTCAGATCTGATGTTTTTTGCTTCCTTTTCTCTCTCACCAGAAAAGACTGTAATCACTCTGAACGTTCAGACAGTCACAACATACAAGACCATTTCTAATGTTATTGGGTATTTAAAGGGATCTGCACTTCCTGGTAAGTAAACCTTTATGATCACTATTATCATCATTACCACTTTTGTTAAAGTAGAACTATAATATCAAGAGGTCCAGCAAAGTGTCAAGTTCTTCTTGTGATGAGCTCTGCCATAATTTCTAATGAAAAGACTATCCTTGTTCTAGGGAGATTACACTTGGGTTTATACGAAGGCGCACCAGTAGAGTTAAGCAGAGATTTAGCTAAAGGAGATGGTGCCAACAAAATGAGCATATTTTTGCACAAATAGTAGTTATCCTTATAATAATACATGTGTTTTACAGCATAATCAGCAAATGTCTTGGAATTTCTAATTGTAGAAACGAATGCATTGTTTGACTGGAAGCTTTTTAGAAGAGGTCTCTATGACTTAGCAAAGGCTGTAGTCTTCTCAAATATGGATTATTATTAAGTCTTATTTCTTAAATTATCTATGAGTTGGTATTATAGGAAGCGGATGTGATGTATATGTCAGAATGGTAAAAGTCTATGCTTATTCTCACATTAGTACCCAATTCGAAATGGGATCACTTATTTTTGCAGAAGCAATTGGAAGCAAATATCAAACTTTGTGCGACTCAAATGTGTAGTGGGGCATTGCACTACATCCCACCTGTGGGCAGATTGCTAACTGAATCAAGACAGAGGATGAGCTCTAGCTAAGTAGCCAAAAACCTAGCAATGGACATTTTAGAGGAGTACAAAGCTTTGAAATTCTGTCACTTGCAAAATTTAAGGCCCAGTTCTTCAGACTTATTTATGGTAAGCAGTTTCTTATACCAGGAGTATTCCCATTGAACTCTGTCTGTTCAATGGGACTAGGGATGGCAGAATTGCAAAGATTCACTCTGTTTTATTGCCGTAGTCATAGAAAGTGTTATCACTGGGAAATCACTGGCATCATGATCAGAAGGAATGGACTTTTGAAGTGTTCTTTTCTTTTGGGTTTTTTTTTTTTTTCATTTTTTTGACTGGAAGCTGGCTTCTTCAGTAGTTATTAAAAGCTGTTGTTGGTGATGTCTGCTTACTGACATACTGAGTTTTGGTGGTCCGCTCAGTGCAGTTCCAAAAGGCAGATGGTATCTTCTCCAAAACCATCATCACATTTTCCCGGATTAGCAGTGCTATTGTCAGTCTAAGCAAAGAGGTAGATGGCAGCTTGACTTCACGCTCTCAAGATGTGATCAGATCAGGTCAGTAGTGAGGACCTGAGGTGGACAGGATGAGGAAGCTTGTACTGTAACTTCTGTTAGTGGAGTAGCAGCTACAGCTTTTACAACTAAGTTGCTTTTATAAAAGAATAAAAAAATGCTGTTTTAAAATTAAATTTGATTAAACGGAATTTTTTTTGGCTGCACAGGAATTTGAAGTTATCAGTCTTATTACCCATGGGGTATTATAAATACCTATGTTGAAAAAAGTAGCTGAAGTTGTGAAATACAAAATAGCATTTTCAGAAGAATTCCCCTGCTTTTCTGAATTGCAAACCAGGAATAGGAAAACTGATTAAAAAACTAAGCCTTTTTTCCTTGACATGAACTTTCTACAATGCATCTGGCAATATTTTCCCTCCTGTATTTACTATAGTGTATGCAAAAATTTAAAGTAAAAAAGCAAACAAACCCCTAAATATTTCTTGTGCTAATGGCATCCTTATGGAGACCCTGATTCTGTGTTTTTTATAGGAACATCCTTAATTTTATGTACACGTAGCACTGGAATCACTGCGTCTACTCAGATGTTTAGTGCAGCCCATCCTTAAATACCTTGCTAAACTGGGGCTATCAAGCCCTGTCTTCTAATTTAAATGCGTAGTTCTCTATGGATACCATTTCTTTTGAAAATAACTCTAAGCCTCCAATTGATTCATTGTACTTCCCAGTGGGTATTGTAGCAGAGGCCCTGCTGGGAGTGACAATACTTGAAGTTTTCATGGCATATTTGGCACTTTGTCATTTTAACGTGGTTCTTTTCAGCTTATGTCTGCAGCAATTCTCTCTATGCTCCTGTAGGAGAGAGAGGAAGCAGAACGTATCTGCTCTTAGTTCACTGAAACCCCAAAGAGTTGCACCAAGCATGGATTTTCCCTCCTAGGGGTTTCTACATGCGGAGACATATGTTTTAATTTTTGGTTGGCGAAGCATTATAGAGAGAGTTTAAAAGCTCTCATGGAGCATCTGAAATCCTGCCAGGAAGCTGAAGAAATAAAATAAGGAAGGAACGTCTTGGTTAGTCAGCAACCACTGTGGAAATCTGAATGCAATGTGTATGGATTTTATAGCGAGCAAGCACTAAATAGCTAGTCATTGTATTTTGGGGAGGTGTAACTAATAAGGAAAAAGACTATATACAGTCCGCCAGTTATTAATCCTTACTCTGCTGACCACTCTGACTGTCTTGCCTATCTCCTCACTCCCCCAAAGTTTCTGATGGTTCTTCCTTTTCTGCTTGGCACCCCTCTTCCTTCTCCTTATATTCTGTCTGTTTCCCCACCTACTGTCAGGAGGTTTTTGGCAGAAGAGGCTACTGCTGCTGCCCATCTGCTGCTTCTGTAGTCAGTTTTCTTGTGTGTCTGTTCATTTGGAAGGGGTGTAGGCAGGTGAGTAGCTTCAAAAGAGCCATCAGCTGCTGTCCCCATTCCCCTCTCTTAGCTGGAGCTTCTTGGACTGAAGATGGTAGTTGTCAGATCCCATTATACTTTTGTTCCACAGGGCAAGTGGATAGGACAAGGGAGGGCAATCCTTGATGCTGCCCAAACCCTCTCCGTAGTTCTGGTAGGTCCTTGTGGGTCCATAAGTCTGAAGAGATGTGGAGGAGTGCCAGTCTATCCTCCCCACCCTCCAGGGTTGGCTGGGCCAACCCCAGACCGAGCTTCCTCTGCTCTCTCCCTCCACTCCCATCCTAAAAACAGCACCGGAGCTGGGAGGAGGGAGAGGTGGGGCTACGGGACTCACAGCTGCCCTAAATTTCAGCTTGATCTCTCAACCCCTGGGACCCAACAGCGAACGTCTGTTGGATCTGCGGGATTGATGCAACTTTTAGCACTTCCTTGAGAATATTTCTCATTACAATACTTCTCATTGCATTAAATTATTATGTACACTTAGATTTACATTTTCCTGACAAGGTATACAGTTTTGTGTTAATGACTCTGTATCAGTACATACAATAAAATTACAATCTAAGAAACAGCTGGTGTTGCAAATAGATTTTCATTTATGTGTGTGTGTGTGTGTGTATGTGTGTGTATGTGTATATATATGTGTGTGTATATATGTATGTATGTGTGTGTGTATGTGTATATATATATATATATTTGAAGAGGCAATCAGTAACACAATTTGATTGAAAAGCACTTAAGTCAAGAGAGAGGTTGTTGCTGCCCCTTCAGTAAAACCCAGTGCCACATTATTATACTCTTCTAAAAATCATGTCCCTGGGTAGTACCTTGAACAAAACTCCACTAAAGGCCCACTTTGATGGAGGGGGTTTTATAATCAGAGAGTACATGTCCAATTCAAGATGTTTGTAGGCAGTAATCAAAACAGAGATCCCTGAGGAGTGCACAGCATTTAATTTCATAGGCAATTTAATGTGTGGACAATTTATAATGCAAACATCTAGTTACACTCCAGCATTGACAACAGCAATAGATGAACCAGATTGGATAGAGCCTGAAATCTTTTCGAGCCCGGCAGACACCCAGTGGATTTATTTCAGGGTTCTGAGCTGATCAGAAAACTGTTTTTCCCGTGTAGAAATTCTGAAATAAAGAACACCCTTAATCCCACTCTGTTTGGCAGGTGTAAGGGACTTGGATGAGGATCTAACCTACACCCAAATTCCAGTTTGTTTTTATAAGCTGACAACACACAGCAGGTCTGGTGTTATCTTACTTTTGTACTCCTAACTGCCGCTGGACCCTGTGGTACACAGAACTTGCCATTCTGCTCAGGCCAGTGGTTAACCTAATTCAGTAATTTCTTATTTCCAAGAGTAGTTAGGATTCTTAGAGGAAAGAGCCTAGAAAACTGTGTAAAAGGACAATGATAAAACTGTGCCCTGAAGCATAAGGTTATATATATTTAACATGCGAGTGATTTTTCCCCATCCTCTTTAACAATGGATGTTTTCATTATCCTTATAATTGTTGAAGCCTCTTCCAAATTCTATGACTATGCTGCCCACAGTGTTGTATTTTAGCAGAGTGTTTCATGGATTAACCACCTGAGATTTCTTATTTCAGGTTGAAATCTGCCGCGTTTCATTAGTTTATAAATTATCACCTTGTTCTTATATAATCAAAGTAAACAGGTTTCCTCCACCTTTTCTGTACCGTGATTGTTGTTGTTATACCTTTGTCATATCTCCTCTCTGAACCTACAGTCCCAGTCTTTTCAGTCTCTCCTTACCCGGAAGCCTTTCCAGATCTTTAACTGTTCTGGTTACCTGCTTCTCAAGTTCTTCTGTTTTTCCAGTACCCTTTTTGAGATAGCACTCAACACAGTATTCCAGGTGAGGTGGTATCATTAATGGCATTATACTAGTTTCTATACTATATCTTTTTTTCTTAAATAGAGCCTAACCTCTGCTTGCTTCATTTTTTATACAACCAAAGCTTTTAGTTGCTGCCACTGCACAGTAAACCATGTTTTGCCTGAGCATTATCATCTTATTTTTACAGCATATTAAAGCATGTTTGGAGATCTATTGGATAACTCAGTGACAAACTCTGCCACAAATGTGGGACAGTGTCAGTTCTGGATGTGCCATGAGAAGTGATTGTAATAAAGAAAGTCAGTGGAGTTGCAAAAGTTAGGACTCGGGGGGGTGGGGAGATGGTCTCTGTTTATTAGTGTATTTTCAGATGCTTGTCTAAGATGTTCAGAACACAGGATGAAAGATAGTTATTGCAGCTGTAAAATTACAAATAACACTATGCACTTTAAAAGCATGTGCACATTTTTACTTGGCTTCTATATTGGCCCCTGTTTACTTAAGTTATGATTGCTGTAAGTAAAGAAAACAAAGATCTAGGTATTGCCTTGCACAGGACTTAGCTCGATCATGCAGATTTTTGTTGACAACACTTACCTGTGCTGTATGCATTCTTAACATAAGAAAGTATTAACATAATCCAGCCTTTATTATTAGACTGTTTCACTCCAAAACTGTTTATATTTGATTTAAAAAATGTTGACATCCGAATTTTTAATTTTTTTTTTTATTTATTTTTATTTTTCAGACAGATATGTCATAGTTGGTAGCCACCACAATAGTTTATACAGTTACAGTGGACATGGATGGGCCCAAAGTACTGCCATCATCACAGCCTTTATACAAGCCTTGATGATAAAGGTTAAGAAAGGGTGGAGGCCTGACCGGACCATTATTTTCTGCTCATGGGGAGGAACGTCATTTGGCAACATTGGCTCATATGAATGGGCAGAGGTAAAATATGTTCATATGCATACACTTATATAGCAATAATATAAACGAGCTGGTGTCAGCACAAACAGGATAAGGCACAGAGACACAAGGTAGAGTGCTATGCAGAGGTAACAACTTTGTTTAAAACCATTACTTATTCTAATTTTTAGACTGAAGAAGATTCACCTAGTTTTGGATACATGCCCAAGCCTTTTCACGACTAATTATGGCTAATTAGAACAATCCATCTATACTCTGCTGTCATCACTTTGGCAGACACTGATTATCAGCTAAAAAATTATTATCTATCAGCGGGACTAGAATTTGTAACCAATAGAACTCATAACTCATGTTTAAAAAGTGTAAGCTTCCATCTATTAAGCCAAAGAAACAGCGGTGTTAGTGATCCAGCCTGTACATGGAAGTGGTAGGCACCTAAATTGGCTTTCATGTACATTTCATTCATTGACCCTTGTTAAGAAACTACAGCAGGGCTTGGAGCTATCATTAAGAAAGACATCCTTTAAATAAGAGGTTTCAAATGCGCCTGCACCCCTGGACTGGTTCCACACTGTGAGAGCCTCTCAGGCTGGGTCTGGATCTAGTAGCAGTGGCAAAGTGATCTATAGCAGGAGACTAGCTATGGCAGAGGGGTTAGCGCAGCCATCGCTTGCCATCTTGCCACCAACGTACGTCCCCTAAGGGGGGGTCCATACCTGGTAATTGGAAGTGGTCCCCACCCCTGCTAACGCTATCCCCAAATTCCTGGCCCCTCTACAGGTCGGGTGAAATAGGGCCATGGGACTTACACCTGTGCTTTAAATGTCCTGGGAAACCAAGATGTTGATCACCAAAAGGTTTTTTCTTCTCTCTTTCTTAAGGTCTAACATTTGTGAACCTCCTGCTTCCAGTTTTTATGCAGGGAGAGTGTAGCTCACAGGGATCATAATGAAGGAAGGGTGTGTTGTAGTATTTTTCATACATCCAAGCCGTTAATCATATATAAATTTCACTGTGTCCATGGTTAGTGCTGATTTTAGTTATCACCTATTTCTGCTTACAAGTTTCAGTCTGACATGCCCAGTTCCTTTTTAACTTCAACAGAATTGTAAATGAACTCAATGGAAAAACTCATCAGACATGCCTCCCGGCTAAAATAAGATTCCAATGGATTTCAGTTGATCAATTTAAAAGAGTAGCCTTTGGTGAAGTCCGTAGCTGCTAAAATACAATGATAGATACATATAAAGAGTTAATTATTTTGTATCATTTGTGAAAAGAAGCTAGTGCTCATCAAAGCCTCATCCTTCCACTGTGATTATTTTTCAAAAACACGAAGGGGGAGAAAAAAAGTCAAAAGGATCCAAGCAGCCGACAGGAATCAAAATTTGTTTAGTTCCACTTCAAGTCAACTTTACATCAGATGTCACTGCGTTGCACCCCTTCTCTTCAACATAAATACTCTTCATGCAAGGAGTAACTCATTACTGAGAAAGCAAAGAGAATTCATTTTAAGAAAAATAATTGTAATGTTTCATACATATCATTTCCCTGGTTTTAAAGTATAATAAAATGACACCAGCGGAGAAATTATGCAATTTAAATCAGAATTTGGGCTCCCGGTTTGAAAATTCAAGTGCATTTAACTGTTTGATAATGATGACTTTTGAAGTGTGTTTTCTGTCAGGCGCAAGTTTAAAAGCCCCTTATGTTTTTTTTCACAGTATGTAATGTTTTCATTCTTGCCCTTGCAACTAGAGTCGTTTTTAATTCCTCTTGGACCTGTTTGCATTCTGTTCAAATGATGTGTGAAATAGAATTATAACTTTTGCTACAGAGAACTAAAATTAAGATATCCTTTGAAGTTCTTAACATGACATTATAAGAAAATGAAGTTAAGTAATACTTAGGGAATCATGGAGGGTAAAAATGTGGGGTTTGTTTCTTTAGCTGAACTAAATAAGAAAACAAGCCTTAATTACAGTCATGCATATTAATAACAGTTGCTATGCTTGTCTTGTAGGAGCTCAAGAATGTTCTCCAGAGAAACGTTGTTGCTTATGTTAGTCTCCATAACCCAGTGAGAGGCAACTCAACTTTGTACCCTGTGGCATCACCATCTCTTCAGGAGCTGGCAGCAGAGGTTAGAAAGATGAGATTTTCTTTTCAACTAAGCTTCTGAGCTAATGCGATTCCTTCTTGTATGCCATTTGTTTTCAGTTAATTTGAGGCAGAGATCATTTTGAGTTACTAATGAAAAAATCTTCATTATAATCTCCTTGTTCACATTTTGTAGCCACTTTTATCATGTAAACATGTTGACCATGATTTAAATGGTTAGAGTACAGATTGCAGAATGGGCAGAGAGCATCAGTTCTCTTTTTCTGAGTAACTTTAGAGAAAGTTCTTACCATTTCATAATATGAAGTCTCACTCTATTTGTACACGCTTCAGATTTTCCAATTCTTGGCAGCTTTAAAGTAACATATTTTCTATTCATTAGTGCAATTCACATTTTTCTCTTCCTCTTATGTTCTTTAAGGGCTGTGTATCAAATGACATTTAAACTTGTGAATTTACCAGATGTAACATGTTGCATGCAGAAAAACCATTACTGCTTCTATAATCAGCAGCCTATGAAGTGAATAGGTCAAATTCTTCATTCAGTTAATAGCACTACAACTAGCTAGGAGTCAGTGGAGTTTATTCCATGGCTATGTTGGTTAAACTGAGCACAAAATGGGTCCAGGGACCTTTTATAATCTCTCAAAGGCTGCAGAATTCAGCATCGTGGGAAATTAAATGGAAACTTCTTGTGCAATATGCTTAAACTGCAGTAAATATTGTATTTTTCTCATATACAGTACATCACAAAATAAAGACATACCACTTGTTTTTAAAGGCAGAATGAAGAAAAAAACCCATCTTTCCTTGTAGTAACTGAACGGAAGCAGCCAGGGAGCTGAGTCTGCTTCTTGTTTCACTCCTTGTGGTTCATATGAAGACTTTACTTTTGCTTTTGCCCAGTAAGTGGCAGAAACAGATTGTGCCATATTTCCTTGAATATAATGTACCCTTTATGCTCAAATTTACAGCATTTGTCTTCTGGAAAAAAGGTGCGTGTTGCATATAAAAAAATATAGTAGTTTAAACATTGAATGCATCTGCTACATTTTGATTTTGATAGCACGCGCACGCGTGTGTGTGTGTAGTCATTGTTTTTTCCATTTGCAATTCAGCAAAATTGATGCTGCCAAAGTTTCATTTTCCTATGGCGGGTTTTGGTACTTTTTTCTAAAGCATTCAGCGCTGACCTTTACTGCAGACAGAATAGTGGGCCAAAGCTCTTAATCCCGAATGGCATATGCTGTTCAAGAATGTGTTCCTATCATTGAATTGTATACTTGGAATAGGCTAAAATGCTGTGAGGAATTGCAAGTATCTCTCGGAATTTAAAAGTACGTATGATGAATGGAAACATACAGAGTTTGCTACCTGTGTCCCCTTCGACTCTACCTTCATCAGTACTGGTGATTTTTATTTGTTTGCTTTTTTTAATTTGGGGAGTGCTGCTGTATTTAATTGTAAACCAAGAGAATCTGATGGTGCAGATTTCATAGTTTCATAGTTGTTAGGGGCTGGAAGGGACCTTGCAGATTAGGGTGTCAAGATGTGTTTTGAAGATCACCAGGGTGGGTGACTATACCACCTCTGGGGGGAGCCTGTTCCAAACCCTCAGTACTCAACTTGTAAAGAAGTTTTTCCCTATGTGTAGCCTGAAGTGATCTTCAATCAGTTTGTGCCCATTATTTCTTGTCCTCCCCTCCCCTGGATGGGGCCTTGGTGAATAGATGTTCCCCCAAGCCCTGATGTACACCCTTGATATACTTATAGGCTGCCACCAAGTCCCCTCTGAGTCTTTTCTTCTCCAAGCTGAACAGTTTCAAGTCTTTCAGCCTCTCCTTGTATGACCTGGTCTGTAGGCCTCTAAGCATGCATGTGGCCCTCCTTTGGATGCTCTCGAGCTTCGCCATATCCTTCCTGAAACGCAGTACCCAGAACAGGATGCAGTACTCCAGCTGCACTCTCACCAAGGCCGAGCAGAGTGGGAGGATGGCATCCTTTGCCTTGCCCAAGATGCCTCAGTAGAGGCATGCCAGGGTTTGATTAGCTCTGCCAGCTATGGCATCGCATTGGTGGCTCATGTTCGTTAGATTGGAATGAAATGGTTGCATTTTGTCTGGGGACACTGCCTTTTGGCATTGACAATAGTAACGTAAAGATATGAGCTGTACTGTTATTTCAGAGAAGTTCAGCAAGATGGAGATTCTGAAGATAACTAGAATACCTAGGTATATCAGGACTTCTTTGGTATGTTTTATATACACGTGTAAGGAGAGAGGAAGAATAGTCAATGTGCTTACTTATGGTATAGGCAATACAAGCATCCGTAAAATGTGTGTGTAGGTTTATCTCTGTTACCCCCCTCCCCAGACTACTGAAAAGAAACAGATTGGGTTTCTGCATTACTTTATACCTTTTCCCAAAGTGCTGAAAGGAGGAAGGAAGGAAGGATGGAGTATTTTTATTGTGGAGTAATACCTTTTTAATTAACACAAATGTCATACTTATTTGACATTTTTTAAAAATGATGTAAAGAACTGCTTCCAAAAACTAGCCAGAACGGTTATTTTATGTCCAATATATCTGAAATGATAGAAGTGCCAGGCACAGATCTTTCATCTGTTCCCAGGGGTACTCTCAATTTGCCATGCCAAGCATCTTAGACACTTCCATCCTACTCACTTGAAAGAAAAGATTGATCCTTTTATGAAGAATATTAATATTTCTTCCATTAGCTGCTGAGAAGGCCAGATTACTTATAGGCTTACTTCAAAAGTGCATTAATTTAAATGAGGTAAAATCTGGGATATTTTGGAGCATGCTGCCTCTTGCAGAAAATTGTGAATCCACACACATTACATTTTTGCTAACAGATGTAGTTGTAAAAAGGTGCTAAAAGTCCAGGCAGCAACAAAGACAATTGTAAACACTGTAGTTTATATTTAATAATTTACTAGACACAGAATCCATTGAATCTTGGCTTCTTCAAAGCAGGAAAGCAACTGAATCAGTAACTGAAGTGGTTTATAACCCCATTTTAAAAGGAAGGGATGCATAGTCACTCTAATTTTGTCATATAGAAATGCAAACTATGAATTATGATTTGTGGACTCATGTCACGTGTCCCTGCCATGAAAGCACCTCTTGAAAGCAATGATAAAATCTCTAGTTCCTTATATTTGAACTTTTTAGTACAACAGCCCGAGTTGTGTCACTTCCTCCCTTTCTTGTTAGAACACTTTATGGTAGCTGTGGTAATGTATCTGGCAAGGAAGAAAACACTTTACATCTGACCTTTCAGTGGCCAGGAATGGGGCTTGGTTTAATACTTAGCATAGTCTAAGTTCGTTAGCTTACTAACGCATGCGTGCGCGTGACCGCACGCGCACACATACACACACTCTTACTTCAACAAATAACTAAAACAGAAATACCAACACCGTCCTCCTGACCTGAAATTCTTATTTTCACACCTGCATTGTGTCTCCTTTCTATTTCCCCAGATTTTTTTTTTACTTTTTGACCAACATTATTTGAGATAGGAGGCCACATGCTCGATACACTGTCTAGAAGGGTCAGGGAGAATCACTGAGGCTAAGTACAGACGTTCAAAAAGCCTGTGGCGAGAGCAGTCTATCACACTTAACTTAAAGTGCTGTAAATTAGAGTGCGTTTGAATCAAACAGATGTTTGACGTTTGGTGGAGCAGGGTGGCGGGGGGCTTATTCTGCCTGATCCCACCAGGTAGGGGGAGCATTCCCACACCTCCCAGCATGCCCCACAGACTCCCGAAGCTGCTGGAGACTTCTGAGTGCAACCAAACGAGCAAGCCATTCCTGACTGGCTGACTGGCGTGGGGGAGCAGTCCCTCTCCCGTCCCAGCTCCTCTATCAGTGATGGGAATCAGAGCATCGCAGGCAAGCAGGCCTGGAAGGGACCTTTGTGCTGAGCTGGGAATGCCTGGAGGCCCTCATCTGCTGAGTGCTGGTGGAAGGAAGGATAGGTATTGGCATCTCCTTGGAGCTGCAGTGGGGGCTGGAGGTGCCTGTCCTGCTTGGATCTTCTGCAGATGGGGGCAGGGGAGGGGTGTAGGGCTAATCTGCTAAAGGCCTCCTTTCAGCTTTCAATCCAGGAGATGAGCAAGGGCTTGGAAAGTTTCCTTCTTTTGTCCAGCTCTAGTTCTCAATTGCTTGGATGAGACTATAACAGGAGGTCGTATCCCGTGACTCCCCATAAAATGCCAGGTAGGAGTTATCAGGCAGGGCACTCTAGGCGTATATTAACATTCAGAATAGTTGCTGCTGGGTCATGCTGGTCAGTGGGCCCACCAGTTCCAATTAAGGTTCTGGGATTGTGTTTTGGGGAGTGGCAATGAGGGAGGTAGGAGCGAAACCCTAGGAACAACCAAAGAGGAAGGTGAAGCCAACATTTATTTTGTGCTATTGTTTTATAGTTAGCAATTGTACTATTGTTTTACAGTTTTGCTGTAACAGTGAAAGCTAGTTAGATACTACACAGAAGCTATGTGCTCTGTGGAGGAGAAAAAATAAAGAATTCACCCATTCAAAAAAATTTTAAAAGTATTTTTTTAAGAGTAGCTTGTTACAGTGAAGGTCACATCTTATTTTAGTTAGATTTATAGAAGGAATGACTTTCTGAAACACAAACAATCTGCACATACTGGTTTTATGTGCCTATCAGTAGGAACGTACAATGGGGATCTGACTGAAGCATTGAATTAAATAAGGAAACTAATTTAAATATTTGGATTATTTAACCAAAGAAGAATTCAAACAGTTCTGAAACCTTGACAAATTTAACATGAACTCTTTTTAAACAGCCATGCTAATTACTGTCCACAGTAATGAACGGGAGATCCCGCCAAGTTACATTTTTGCCTATTATTGTTTTGTAAGGAAAGTGATCATTTACTCACTTGCTGCGTTAATGAATCACAATTTACTGGCAGATTGTCACTGGTAATTGAGGAGTGTTTGGTGCTAGCATTCAGTCCCCTAA